ACAAAAAAAAAAAAGAAATTAAAATCATAAACACTCTAATTTGTAGATTTGGTTTTAATTATCAACAACGAACATTCAACAAATCAAATTTAAATTTCAAAGCAAAGACGGTGATCAAGTAAGGATAAGAAGTTAGGAAGTCGGGGATATTTGTTCTAGTTCAAAATGCAATTAACGGACAAGTGATCATTCGGTTAAAGGATTCAAATAACCTACTCGTTCATAGATTCATCCTCAATAACTTTTCATAACAAGAGAATAAACATGAACGGAAAATCAACGAGTCGTTTAACACATAGGCAATACAGTTACAATCAAGCCTATTTTATGCGAGCCTAGATTGATCAACTCCTCCCCTTTCGGTTCTAAGAGTCGATTAAATTGGACTAGAAGGTGGTTAACCGACTAATATTTACGAATTAACAATATCATACTTAAATGAATCATGCCCAATTGAAAATCAAGTTCAAGTTGAGGTGTCACTTATCAACAATATTCAACAATCAAGGATGATAATAAAAAACCCCTTTAAAATCAACTCGCATAAATTGAATAATCAACAAGCACAATAGCCACAAACGAATTCAAAACAGCATCCCCTATCTCTAGCAACTCGAATTTGACTACTTCTATGGAATTCAACAAAAACAATCTAAAAACCCCAAGCATTCATATTCAAGGATTAGATGAAAAGGAAAACTTACGATTCATAGAATCGAGAGTAGAATCCAATGAACAAGCTTAATCCCAAAAATTAAAGAGGAAATCAAGATGAAATTCAAGTGAAAGCTTCAAGTTCTATAGAGAAAAATGAAGAAAAAACGAAACTGAAGTGAATGATATTGCCCTAGGCACGATTCCCAATAAATAGCCCGTAAAAAATTGTTCCAAATATTAACTTTTAAAATTTGGTCGCACCGATCTGTGGGCCGCGGAAAAATGATGTCGCTGGCCGCGGGTCTGGGGCGCCTGGGATGTTCCCAGGCTCTGTTACTTCCGCGAGCCGTGAGATATTCCGTTGGCCGCGAGAACTAAAAATCGCGAGCCGCGGGGTGTGTCGCGGGTCACGGCCTAGGAGCTGTTGGCCTTTGTACTTCCGCGGGCCGCGGGTCTGGCAGGCAAGGTTTTTGGACTGCTACGTGCGACTTTACGTTTCGGGTTCGTTTGAGTTTGTTCGAACTCGGAATTGAGTTCCGCTTTTTTCTACTCGTAGCCAACGAACCCTTATAGTTAATTATGTTGTGCGCCCAATTTGTTCTTGAGATATTATCCGTCCGAAGCTCCCGATCTACACAAGAAAAATGACAAAAAAAAATGAAAAAAACAAAGAAACACACACGATAACACAGAAAAACGCAAGGTAAAGGAAAACATGCTATAAACAAGAAAAAGAACTAAAAACCAAAGAAACTACATAAAATGTGGGGAAAGAAAAGGTAAAATAATTAAGAAAAATGTAACAAAAATGGCGCAAACATCGGTCGCCAGTGTCGAGATTGTCGG